TGTTAGGGATTCTCTGTTTTGTCCTGGAACCATTCCTGAATCATAGTACACATTCAAAAAGTTGAATGAACAAAAAAGATGAACCTTCACTCTTCGTTCAAAAGGGGGTCCCTTCTCTGCTCATCTCATAGGGTTTTCCTGAAGTAGCCAAGGAAAAGAGAGATGGAGGTTTGGCAGCTCCTCTTAAGGCCAGAGAACATGCCCCTAACTTGAATAATGGAGGCCAAAGCGATCTCACAACACTGTCCCGTCTTTTAAAAAAATTTTTTTTTTAATTTTGTATTGGGGTATAGCCAGTTAACAATGTTGTGATAGTTTCAGGTGAACAGCGAAGGGATTCAGCCGTACATAAACATGTATATCCATTCTCCCCCAAACTCCCCTCCCATCCAGGCTGCCACATAACATTCAGCAGAATTCCATGGCCTTCTTTTTCATTTGTTTTATTTCTGCGCAGTCTCCTCCCACCCTGCCTTCTTGCTGTGTTGTTACCTGGCCAAGGGTAAGACAGGGCAGTGAAGCTGTGAGTTTGTTCTCTCTCCTGATGAGAGATGAGAGGGTAGGGGGTTACAGCTAACCTTTCCTCCTGCTAATTGCTCTGCAGGCTTGGAGCTAGTTCACTGCCTAGGCCTCTGGGATCCCCAAGACTGGGCCCACGCTCAGGACCTTCAGGACACTGAGAGATCCCCAAAGAGGATTCGAACCGTGTTTAACTTGGAGCAGCTGGAAGAATTGGAGAAAGTGTTTGCAAAACAGCACAATATAGTGGGGAAGAAGAGAGCCCAGCTGGCAGCCCAGCTCAATCTCACAGAGAACCAGGTGAGCGCAGGGACTCCTGTGGGGCTCGGGCTGCACCCAGGGACAGTTACTACTCTCTCAGAAAACCCTGGGTCGGGGCTGGGAGGAATTTACGGGCCTCTTTCTCTGTGCCAGGCTAATGGGGCATACGGGCCCTAACCACTGGCACTCTCCCTTCTCTATATGATGAGGAAAATAGTCCTATTTGAACTCATGTTATGGAAACAACACTTGGTGTTAATCTAGAACTTTATAATATAATGTTTCCATGCTAAATAAGGGGCTGACAGTGAAATTAAGTTGGTATTCAAGAGACTAAATATTAAAAATAATAAACATTCTCTTGACTCTATGTTCCCCTCTGGCTACTGCATCATCTCTGCTCTTTGCACAGGCAAATTTCTCAAGAACTGGCTATGTTCTCTCCATGTCCTCACCTCCCATCTACTCCTTAATTCACTGCAGTGTGAATTCTTTCATTCTGCCATTTCACTGAAACTTCTCATCAAGGTCTCTAATGACCTCCATGATGCCAAAGTCACCATATTCTTTCTTCCCTCATCTTACCCCATCATCCAGTACAATCAACCACTCCTGTTTTGAAACCCACAGTTCTCTTGGCTTCCAGACACCACGTTCTCTTGGTTTTTCTCCCAGCTCTCTAGTCCCTTCTCGGTTCCCTTTGTAGGGAACTCTTCTCTTTGTGGCCTCAAATTTTCCTCCCTAGATAATTTTATCTATCCCCATGGGTTTTAAATACCATTTTTAAGCCAGTGTCTCCCTAATTTGTATCTTCAGCCCACCCCTCTTTTCTGACTTGTGCAACTAACCACCTTCCTGGGGCCTCCACTTGGGTGTCTTGCAGGTAGCCATTTCAAACTTAACAAGTCAAGACCTCAATTCTCGATTCCATTCCCCCCCCACCCAATCTTTCCCTTTCCCCACACATGACATCATTGTCCTCCCAGCTGCTCAAATACTCAGTCATCTTAGATTCCTTTTTCTCTCCCAATTCCAATCCATCAGCCAGGCTTTTCACCTCTACCTCCGAAATACAACTGGAATCACTTCATTTTTCTCCACTGCCCCCAGTTTCAAATGGGACTGTTCTTCTCATGATACAGGGAAGGGAGTACGCAGCCCCAGCTATTGCTTGATCACTGCAATAGTCTCCCCAGCTATCTCCTCAAACCTGCTTATACCCATTCTTCACCTGCTGCCAGATGTGCAGTGCACTTGATGTAAATAGGACTATGTCACATCCCACTAAAAAACTTGAAAGTGACACTTCACAGTTTTGGGTGACCTGGTCCCCACTGACCTCTCCCACTTCCTCCTTTGCTTTCCCCTTTCTCAGATGTGTCTGCCATGCTTTCCTCCTTTCTGATCCTCAGACACTCCAAGCTTGATTCCCCTGCCCTGGCTTGCTTTTCTCTGTCCCCAGCAGGCAAGCCTCTCATCCTCTGAGCCTCAGCTTAAGTGCAGGTTCTTCAGGGAGGCTCAAACTCCTATTTGTACCCTCATTTGTGTCTATATATTTGTTTCCATGTTTGTTTTTAGCCTCCCTCCACTAGACTGTGAGCTCCATGAGGGCAGAGCTCCTACTTCACCATTATCACCATCACCTGGGAAGGGCCAGCACTGCCTCAGACATGGATGTTTAAAGTGAAGCCAGTACACAAGTGCTCAATCGTGTCCGACTCGTTGCAATCCCATGGACTGTAGCCTGCCAGGCTCTTCTGTTCATGGGATTTTTTGGGGCAAGAATACCGGAGTGGGTTGCCATTTCCTTCTCCAGAGTTCAGATCAGGAGCTCAGTAAATACTTGGGTGAATGAGTGGTACTGGAATTAGAAGGAAGGGTGTGTTTCCCTTAGAATGAAAAGTAAATTTTCAGAGAGGAGTGGGCACTGTGGGAATGGGGGATGCAGTGGGAACTGTTAGTCACATTCTGATCTCTTCTCACTGCCTCAATTATAGGTGAGAGTCTGGTTCCAAAACCGAAGGGTCAAATATCAGAAGCAGCAAAGGCTGAAAATGCCAGCTACATCTGCCATGGCTGCCTCCCCAGATGAGCCCTCCAGCAGCTCCGACACCAGCATCCAGAGAGAAGACGCCGAGTCAGGAATGGACAGCTGAGGACTGCAACAAAGGCTCAGTCCAGGCTGGGCTAGTTCTTCCTGGAAGCACCCACTGGACCTCGTTGTTTCATTTCTTAATGAAGAGCTTGTCAGGTCAAAGGGCACCAGGAAAATCTGAACTGTAAAGCAGGAGCCCTCTTTTTCTGTATCGACCCCTGGGGGTTGTAATAATGCAAATGGTCACAGGTACAGACTTTGGCCTTCAGCTATGTCCTTGGCCAAGTTACTGAATTTCTGAGGATTTTTCCCCCACCTGTAGAATGGGTTATGTAGATAACTTTGACCTCCCAGGGCTGAGATGATGTCTGTAAAACACTTAAGAGTGTGCCAGGCTCGGCACTAAGAGTGCAGAAACTACCAAGGCTTATGGGTCCCCTTCACCTGTGGGAGTAATACCTCAGCCCCCGCCTCTCCAGAGATTCATCTTTGCCTGACCTCGCTGTAGAGGAGAGGGCCTCCTTGAATCAGTATCTGGGCACTGAAGACTCTTCCCCATTGGAAGTGGTGGAACTGCGAGCAAAGAAGGACAGGTAGACCATTTAGCCCACTTACTCTCACAGAATTTCCTGAAGTTTTTTCGTTTTGTCTGAACTGTTAACCACTCATAAAAGGAACTCAGGCCCAGCTGCCTCCTTGGAGCAGACATGCTACCCTGAACACCATCTTTTCCCCTCTAGCTACTCGGCTTGACCCTCTAGCCATCTTTATATTGAGTAGAGAGATTTCACTGTGCCTTTGCCAAAACTGGCATTTTGTCATAAACTCTGCTATATTACTTCCCCAAACCCTTCACAGCCAGTTCTCATGGCTTCCATTCCTTCCCGGGAACCATTCAGTTTCTCTCCAATAAGTGTATGTTGTAGCCTCCCCTTGTGAAGTCTGCCATCAACATTTCCAAAGCTAATTTCTCTAGCACTTCACATTTCCTGGCTGGCCTCTGTTGAGGGTATCCCCTTAGAATACAGGATGACTTCTGGGTGGCGAGATGAGCTGGTGGAAGGAGGTGTGCCCTGACACCTGGTGGTGAGAGGGGGCACGGTCCACGCTGCTCTTCAGAGTTCTTGAGGGAGGGAGGAAAGTTAAGGAGCAGGCGTCCTTAGGAAACCATCTGTCCCTGAGGCAGTGGACCATCGTTTCGAGGATACCAGGCTGCAGCTGGAGGGAGGGGGGAGGCCAGGGTCCAGCTTCAAGAACCTTCTGTTCCTGTCTTCCAGGAAATCCTTCCTAATGCTGGATCCAGTCAACTCCATTAAAGGAACAGAGCTGCATGTGCTTCTTCCAGGAAACGTTGGCTCCTGTTTTTAAAAAATCACCAGTCAGCAGATACCTATTCAGCAGATACCCAGCTCTATCCAATCGTTAAATGTCACCATGAGACCACAGCAGATGTAGACACAGGTCTTATGTCAAGTAGCACAGGATCCACTGGAGGAGGAGGGAACAAAATGAGAGACGGGGGTCAGTCCTGAGCAAGAGACTAGATCCCTCTCCCATAGTCAGAACAATCCGCATATGCAGACTCACTTCTGTACACAGCTTCATGGTCCTGAGACCCTCCAGGCGACAAGATCCCTATGCCCCTGAAGCGTCTGAGGAAGACACACTTCCAGCTTGATCTTTCATAGGACTGTCTGCCCCATGCCAGAGTGCCTGGGGAAATAGGAAATCTGCGCTGGACTTTGTAGGATGGCTAAGAGTGGTCAGCTAGCTCTTCCCTTTAGGCTGAGTCCAAAGAGCAACTGATAAGACAGGCCACTGGTAGGTAGAGACAACAGACACAAACTCGAATTCAGACACTGATACACACATCAAAACGACACACGCACACTCTGGTACTGGCCACAAAAATAGAGGCAAAACTGCACAGATGTAAAAGCACAAAGGCAGGCCCAGCCACACCCAGTCAACTAACCATTCGACCTACACACACACATCGCTCAAAAGCTCGTGCGCAAACCCGCTTGGCCTCACGGACACGCACGCTGGGGGCGGGGCCTCCGGGGGGGCGGGGCCTCCCGGGTCGAGGCTGGGTCAAGGGTCAGAAGGCGGAGGTACGCCCAAGATGGCGGCCTCCATGTGCGACGTGTTCTCCTTCTGCGTGGGTGTGGCGGGCCCGGCCCGGGTCGCAGTGGAAGTCCGCTTCGTGAGCAGCGCCAAGGTGAGGCCGCGGCGAACCGTGCCGAGGTCCCCCACCCAGCCCGGCCTTGGAGACAGCCCCGCGGGACCCCATGCCTGCAGCTTAGAGGCTTCTCTGCCGCTGGGACACTGATGTCCGGCCCCGGCTCGCGCGGCCCGGGGTCTCCGTGTCGGTCCCCGCGTGCAGGCTTTCAGGGCGATCACGCGGTGGGCTGGGGCCCACGGAGTCTTCGTGCGCGCCCCCTCCTCCCGTGGAACCCGGCCTTTCTGCCAGCTGGGCTGGGGAGCGCCAGGCCGGGGGATATTGCTGGATCCTGGGAGCTGTTGGGCGGGACGTGCAAGGCAGAGGGAGCTGCGGTACTAAAAAGCGTGGGCCATCAAGCAACTTTCTGAGTGAGATTTGGGTGGGGGGGTTGAGGAGAGAGGCCAGGACACTTCACAAAGGGTCTTGGAGTGCTAAGGAATTTGGACCGAAGCCCGTGGTAACATTGAAGGGTTTAAATCAAAAGGATGACATTTTGTGTTTTACTGTCGTGTTTTAAAGTTCAGTGTAGAAAAAATTCGAAAGTGCATGTAAGGAAAGGAAAAGTAAAACACTCATAGTCTTGTATTTGTGCAAATATGTGCATATTAAAGTTACATTTTTAGGCTGCTTTCTGATGCAGCAGTATATATTTCAGTATCAGTAATCCTACTTTTAGGTATTAATTTTTAAGAGTTGAGTAATAGTCTTTCATGGGAGGACCACTGTTCACTCAACAACCGTTCATTTATGGATCCTTACATTGTATCTTGTTTTCCACCCCGGAGGTCAAAGATGGTGAAGCTCAGTGTCTGTGCACACATCCTTTTATTCTCACCAGCACTATTTTCTTTCTTGGTTATCTTTATTAGTTGATATGTGCAAAATGATACTGCTTTGTTCTCATTTGTATTTCTTTACTAATGAGGTTGAATAATTTATCATTTGTAGTAGTAGTGTGTATCCTTGCTCCTTGCCCTGGATGTCAGCCTTCTAGTCATCTGGCTCCTGCTCTCAGCATCATGATATTCACACAGTTCCCCAACCTAACCTTCCATTGTCCTCTTTCCACTCCAGAGGCATCTGGAGCATTTCTCTCTTAAGGTGGTAAATCAGCTCCCCTATGACCTTGGGCTCCTCACTGCCCACAACTCCATCTCCACCTCAAGGCCTGCAGTGCTCTCATTGGCTCACAGTTCGATGGTGTTTCAGTTCCATCACTCCTAGCAAGCAGAGAATTCACCTTTACTTTCACTTTGCTCACGTCTCTGAACCCCTCCTTTTTTTTTTCTTTTTTTAAGTTCTTCCCTCTTACATCACTTCAGCCACTCTCCTTGCCCAGTTGTCCAGTTCCAGCCTTCCATCCAAACCCCAGCTCTGGAAGAAGGAGCTGGCTTCCCTCTCTATGCCCGCAGCTTATGTGCTGCTGCAGAAGAATCATGTACCCAGACTTGGTGACAAGATGGCTTATCCTTTTTGCATCTGGTATTCATCAAGTGGGATTGGTTTGTGATTTTTCTTTTTCCTTTATGGTATCTTCCTCAGGTTACCACATCAGAGTTATACTTGGCTTTTTGTTTTGTAAAATAGAGAAACTTCCCATTTTTCCCCCTCTGTTACTGAATAGTTTAAATAGCATAAGAATTACTTACTTGGTTCAAGAGAGCTGATTTATGAAACCATATAGACTGGGGGCCTCATGTGGGGTTGGTTTTTGACCACTTTCTGTGTTGCCTCTGTGGATATTGGCAAGAATGATTTTCAGTTGCTATGCCAGGGTTATGACCGGTCAGAACAGAAACCTAATCAAATATGATAAATGTCAACCGAGATGCTGTACTGGTGCACATCAGGAAGGTGCTGGTGTTGCTTGTTAGTCTGTCTTGGCTTCCTTCCTGTTGAATTCACTTTTGGCAATTGATATTTTCCTAGAAAATAATAAAGAATTTATTTACCAGAGTCTTAAATTTTTATTGTACAATCTTTTTTTTAAAAAAAAAGCTTACTTTTCAAATTGCAAATAACTTTGCATAGTTTGTACCCTTTACATTCAGGTTCAGGTTCATTTCTCTCCAGACTTCTCGGTAACATGAATTAGAGCTATTTTTTTCTCAAAACACTTCATATGTTTTGGGGATGAGTAGTTTCATAGAGGAACAGCTCTGATTCTTCCCTTTGCATTGATTACTAAATATTTCTTCCGTTTGGTCCTCCAGAAAGAGGGAGAAAGAGATCAGTGCTTATCCAATATCAAGACTGATGACTGTCAGAAGTAATGTGGGTCCCTGTTCATAATATCTTTGCATCCCACAAAGGAAGGCCAGGTTTTCATTTTGCTAGGTTGGGGTCCCGGGGGTTACTCAGCATGGAGGTGGGCTTCTAGAAAGACAGCCAAGCTGCATCCATGGCTTTGTCAACGGTTTTGTTCCAGCTGTCCCAGTTAGAGCTCCGAGTTATTCACAGGGTTGAGGTTTGTGGCTCATGGGCCTGTCCAGGTCTACACATCCTGCTGCTCTGATTTGGGGAGGTGCCCCTGCCTAGCCAAAGCGCCAGTGTTCGAAGGAAACGGGGAGCTACCCAGGAGGCCACGTGACAGGACATGTCACTGCTGGCTCAGTTATTTTCTTTCTCTGCCTTTTTGTGACAGTTCACTGGCACTACTGGGGCAGTTGGCAGGGGCACCAGTCCTCTAAGTGTAGAGTGGGCAAAAATGCCCAGCTGGGCCAATAACTGCCGGGGTTCTAAAACTGTCTCCTGAGTCCCTTTGCACATTTGAAGTGAAGTCAAGTCACGCAGTCGTGTCCAACTCTGCGACTCCATGGACTGTGGCCAACCATGCTCCTCCGTCCATGGTATTTTCCAGGCAAGAGTACTGGAGTGGGTTGCCATTTCCTTCTCCAGAGGATCTTCCCAACCCAAGGATCAAACCCGGGTCTCCCACATTGTAAGCAGACGCTTTACCGTCTGAGCCACCGGGGAAGCACATTTGAGAGATGACAATTCAACAGTTGTTTTCTCATCTTTCATCCCATACGCGGTGTTTGCAGTGCTTTAGACCAGGACTTCTCATTAACGTGCATGTGAATCACCTGGGCATCTTGTTAAAATGCAGGTTCTGATGTGGCAGGTCTGGAGTGGGGCCTGAGATTGTGTGTTTCTAACATCTCCCAGGCGATCCCCATGCTGCCAGTCCATCACCTCATTTTGAGTAGTATGGCGTGCATGGGGTTCCTTCACCTGTGCTATATCATTACATCCTGGAAACTACCTGGTAGGTATAATACTCACTTTTCACATGGTAAACAGATGGAAAAAGGCAGTTGACTCAACGTTTCACAGCAAGCTAGGCTTAGGACTGGTGCTAGGATTAGGCATTCCTTTCAGTGTAAAGCCTGAGAACTTGTTGGGCACCAGGTACTGTGCGAGGTACTGTGAGTACCGAGCTGACCAGGGAAGTAGGACACATTCTCCTGCAAACTAGGCCTCCCCCTCCCACAGTGTAGGATTTCTCTGCAACCCGGAGGAGCAGCATCACGACGAGGATCCTGGAGGGGCATGTGGGTGACTCAAGGCGGCCCTGTACCACTTCCTAGTACTGGAAGCTCCAGCCTGCTGTGAACCTCTGGCTGTGCTAAAAATGCTCCTCTGTGTAGTCCAACATGGTTGACATGGTGGCTGTCTTCCCACCCCAGGCCCTCTGCCCTGGACAGGCTGGAAGAAGTGCTACTGAATGTAGGGCAGAACTGCATTTCCGGAGGAAGTGATTATGAAGGGGGCTGACATCGCTCCATGACTGACCCTCCTGAGGCAGAGGCCTCTGCCGAGAGGGAAGCACGTAGAAGTGAGGAGCGCTTGAAGCTCTGTCCTCTGTCTCTTCTTATGGCCATCCTATTCCTTCTCTGCCCTTTTAGGGAAAGGGGCTGTTTGCCACACAGCTGATCCGGAAGGGGGAGACCATATTCGTAGAACGGCCCCTGGTAGCTGCGCAGTTTCTCTGGAATGCACTTTATCGCTACCGAGGTGAGCTCATCTCGCCCACTCTGAGGGCTGCTGGGCGCAGCAGCCTTGGGGCCTAGAAGGAGAGCACGTGTATCCCTGACAGTCTCTGGGACTCCCGGTGTCAGGAGGGAAAGCACATCTTCTCTTGGAGAACTGTGCCTGAGAACCAGGCCTCTGTCTAGTCTCAGGCTGTCTGGGGCTGTGAGCCTGTAGCAAAGAAGCTCTTCCGAAGGGTACCCTGGAGGAGGCCTGTCACTCAGGTGGAACTCAGCGTCATCATGAAGGGCTCTGTGCCAAAGTGGAGCCCCCTACCAAGAAGACACCACATGCCCCCTGTTCAAAAAAGGCTGCATTAGGGGTCAGAAACAAACAGGATGCTTTTAGCTTTGCCAGCCACTTGCTTTTTTCACCCTTTCCTTGGGCTAGAGAAAAATCTGTGAAAGGAGGGTCAGTCAGCTCCAGAATGTGGGGAAAGCCATCTGGGGGAAGGGGTGGAGAGCCCCATAGACTAAGTCCCATGGAGAAGCAGGGAGAGTCTGCTAGGAGGGGTGGAGACTCCAGAGCGGGAAGAAGGTATCATCTATATTTGAATGCATCTGAAATTGATTCATTCATTCCATTCTTTAACATGGTCATTCATTTGCTCACCCCTTAAAACATCTGCTGTGAGCCAGGTGCTGTCCTAGCCCTGTGGCTATCGCTGTGAAAGGACAAATGCAGCCCCTGCTCTGAGACACACATGTCTGGCTCTCTCCCCCAGCCTGTGACCACTGTCTTCGGGCACTGGAGAAGGCAGAGGAAAACGCGCAGAGACTGACTGGGAAGCCAGGCCAGGTTCTGCCGCACCCCGAGCTGTGCACTGTGCGCAAAGACCTGCACCAGAACTGCCCCCACTGCCGGGTAAGCAGCCCTGGGCAGAGCTGAAGTCCCCTCTGGGGAGACAGGCCCTTCAGAGCCCCAGTGGCAGGAAAGACATTGAAAAGGCTGCGTTACTATTCCAGTTTCGTCCACCCTGTTCCAGTCCCACTGTCCAGAAAGCAGGCTTGTTGGGAGCTTGCCCTCTTCCTCGGAGCCTGGCAGGGCCCCTCCCTGTCCCTGAGAAGCAGTCTCTCTTCTTCCCAGGTTTTAAAGCCTGGGGCAGGTGCCCCCTCACATGCCCGAGAGCACTGAGTGCCTCCTCGTCTCATGATACCGTAATACCGCTGACTGCTGCTCGGGGGCTGTTTGTGGGAGGAGTGAAGTTAGAGGAGGTGAGGCCACGCAGGTGCCTGTGCCTCACCCCAGGCCGGATCCTCGGGTGCTGACCTCCACCTCCCCGCCAGGTGACGTACTGCAGTGCAGAATGTCGACTGGCCGCGGCTGAGCAATACCATCAGATCCTGTGCCCGGGCCCCTCCCAGGATGACCCCGCGCATCCTCTCAATAAGCTGCAGGAGGCCTGGAGGTAGGTAGCATTTCCTCTCTTCTCTCCTTTATCCTTCCCTCCTTGCCTGTCTTCCCCGCACTCAGCAGATGTGTAGCCATCTTTCTTAAGTTACCACTCTCTGGATTTTTCCTCCATTCTTAGGGCTAAACAGAGGTCATTTCACCTCTGCCTTAAATCTGAGCTGCCAGTCCCACCATCCTCAGCATTTTACACACTCCCAGAAAGAGCCCCATTAAGCCCATAGAGATGTAAAGTCCTGCCCATGTCCTTGCCAATACCTTTCCCTCTTCAGTTATGAATGGGATTGGTAGGAAGGATTCTCTGTAGCAGTCAGACCAGGCTTCCCTGAATTCAGCTACTGGGAAGGGAATTTCTAGGTCAAACCTTTTTCTTTCTCCCTAGGAGTGTTCACTACCCCCCTGAGACTGCAAGCATCATGTTGATGGCCCGGATGGTGGCCACAGTGAAACAGGTGAGCCCACCTGATCTTCCGGAGGAAGCCGACTCTGGCCTCATTCAACCTTTGGCCTCAGTTTCCTTCTCACTTTAAGACTCTGGCTTGGATACAGAGTTCCTTCTGGGCCTCTCAAAGAAGAGCTGCTTGTTGTGTAAACCTTAGGAGTAGCTAACCATAAATCTGGCTGGGGGAGGGGGGCTTATCTTGCCTGTGGTCTTTGATCTATGAGATGACTTCCTGTGCAGCAGCAGTTCATGCATTACATTTATAAGCATCACCTTTTCAGGATTTTATCTCTTTAGGCAAAGCAAGAGAAGCTACTCTGACCCCTTTTTTAATATTGTCGCTCCTCAGCCTCTTCTGTTTTCCCAAGTGTCATGAATTGGCTAGCTTGGCAGCAGGTGGGGAGATGGTTGGGTGTGGGCAGGGTTGGGAGGAAAAGTCTACCTAGAAGCTAATGTGTGATGGTGTTTCTCTGAGGGCCGGGGCTTTGGAATGACAGCCTACTCTTCCCACGAGGGCGGGAGTGACAGTAAAGAAGAGTGTGTCCATGAGTCCATCTGTGCACCTGTATGCATGGGCATTATGAACCTGACTTTGAAATCTATTTGTTCACTACAGGCTAAGGATAAGGATCGTTGGATCAGGCTCTTCTCCCAGTTCTGTAATAAAACTGCTAATGAGGAGGAGGAAATTGTCCATAAACTCCTAGGGGACAAATTCAAGGTTGGTCTCCCCCCATGACCCTCCCACCCCTGCCAATAGCCTGGGCTGTCTATGGCTACCTGGAGGAAGCTTCACACTTGCTCCCTTCCCAGTCACAGGAAGAAGTTCACACCTGGGTCCAAAACTCTATTCAGAGACTTGTATTTCTGCTGCTGTTTAATTTCATAGCCTAATGTGGACTTAAAATTGGAAAGTGGGGTGATGACTAAGGATGGAGGGGCTGGGTGCCCTGATAGGGGAGGCAGGACCCCATGATCGGATAGCAATGGGCAAATCAAGTGTAATGAAAAATGGAGGGTTGGGGGGGGTGGTCTGCAGGTTAGGAAGTGGGGTGGAACAGACTTCTATTGCCCATGTACTGAGCACTCGCTCCAGATCACAGAGTTACACATTCTCCCCGAGGAGAGCAGACTTCTGTGCAGGAGCTGCCTGAAGGTGGCGGCAGGTGTGTAAAAGGGCTTTTGGGGCAGGCCTTCCTGCACTGAATCTGGGGAAAGGAGGGGAGCGTCAGGCCGCTCTGGAGGGTGATGCTGGTATAAGTGCTAGAAATTAGGAATTTGGGGTTTGCTATCCTGGGTTGGAAGAGGCCAGCAGACTGCCAAGGCTCTTTGGAGATCAGGAAGGACTCCATGGCTTCCTTGTCCCCAGGGAAAGCTCAGTTTTTAGAGCTCACCCTTTCCTTCCCTGACATGGTCTTCTGGGCCCTGCCTGGGTCCTAAGGGGAAACCCCAGGGCTGCAAGTCTCTCCCTGCCTTCCCTAAACCAGGGTCAGCTGGAGCTACTGCGGAGACTCTTCACAGAGGCGCTTTATGAAGAAGCACTCAGCCAGGTGAGTGCGGGAAGGCGGGAGCAGTGGCCTCCCAGTCACTCCAGCTCTCCGGGAGCAACCAGGGCAGCGTCTCCGCCTGGGACAGCTAAGCGAGAGCAGACCTGGTCTTGCGGAGTTGGGATGGGACTGACTCGCAGCAAACCTCAACAGAGAGTTGTATCAGGAAGAAGAGCAAGTGGCTGCCCACTGAGTGCCCGTCTCCTTTCTCCCCACAGTGGTTCACTCCAGATGGATTCCGGTCTCTCTTTGCTCTTGTTGGGACCAATGGCCAAGGAATTGGGACCAGGTTAGGAGAGAATGTTCCAGAGCTCTTGGACTTGTCCCTCAGGGCTGGGATGGGAGATTGAGAAAAGGAGCCAAGCTCCTTTCAAGACTAGGGCGGGGCAGGGTGTGCCTCTGGTCAGAATGCTGGACTAAACTCAGGGGCGAGGGTCAGACAGACCGAGTCTTTCTTGGGAACACTTAGTCTGTTGGGAAAGGACACACCTACCCACCCCAACCCCCACCCCCACACCCCCCCCCCTTCTCGGGAGAAGGAAATGGACTTAACTTGCTTGGTGGAGAGCCCTGTGACCTGGGTCTTTCTCCTCTCCAACCACGGCTGCCTGGGACCCCCAGCTCCCTGAGCCAGTGGGTCCATGCCTGTGATGCTCTGGAGCTGAAGCCTCAGGACCGTGAGCAGCTGGATGCCTTCATTGACCAGCTGTACAAGGACATCGAGGCAGGTTGGTGAGATGGAGCCTTGGCTTCACCTGACTTTGGAAGCCCCCATCAGTCGGTCGATGGACACAGTCTTCCCCCAGGGAGCTCTGGGTTCACGATTGGGGAAGGTAATCCCTGTGTGAAGCTTCATGCCTGTCTGCAGGGCATACCTGAGAAATGGCCCTGCAGTCCATGCAGAGGGTGGGGAGGGCCGGATCGTAAGTTGGTATCACGTATGGAAAAGCAAGCTTGTGCCTCAGAGAAGCATTGTCAGGTAAATGGCAGTGACTGGGTGGCAAGACAGTGGAGCCATGCCTGTCCTTAGAAGCCTAGTTTCCCTTTCCTACCTATGAAATGGATGTAATACCATCTGCACACTACTGTCTTACAGCAACCGGCGAGTTTCTTAACTGTGAAGGATCTGGCCTCTTTATGCTGCAGAGCTGCTGTGAGTCCCGGCATTGAGAAGGCGCAGCCTCATGCTGCAGCTCACCTTTCTTGATCCCTTCTGGGCTGGTAGAGTTGGGTCTGGGAGTGGGATTAGGGCTGAGCTTGAGGGTTTCCCCTTTGTCTTCCATATCACTTTTTCATTCATTTATTGGACTGCTCCTGCTTTCCAATGCGCTAGGCCCGGTGCTCAGGCAGGGCACAGAGCTCTGATTCTTCCAGAGGGAACCCTGGGTCTTGCCCCACCACAGCCCTGTGAGTCCTGAGTGTCCTAAGAACCCAGGAGGAGCTCAGGCTGGAAGGCAGTCTCATCAGCACCTGATGGAGGGACAGAGCCAATTCGGACTGTTGTCTTCCAGATCCTGGCCTCCCACCCCCTGCTCTCCTCACCGCAGACCTTTCCTCCCAGGCTCTGGGGACACTACCTTTCCCAAACTAGGCTTCCAGCTGTTACCAGTAACAGATAGGCCTAGGTTAAGTTTCAGGCACGGGCATCCCTTTCACAGCCCTGTCCCTCCCTTTGTGAGACACTGGGAACAGCTGAGGATCAGGGGGACCAGTGAGGAGACGAGCAGGGCCAGGCATGGCAGGTGGCGCAGGGCAGTGATGTGGGAGTGCATCTGGGCCTGTGGTCTTCAGGAAAGAGTGCTGGACAGGGAGACAGGACACCGGGGCTCCAGGACCTGCACAGCCCTAGCAGGGATCAGAGAACAAGGAAAGACAGGGCCTGCACAGTTAAGGCTGTTATTTTTCTTATTCAACAAATCCTCATTATCTGCCTCTCATGACCCAGGCAACCACAGCTGTGTCCCCAATGCAGAGACCTCCTTCCCAGAAAACAACTTCCTTTTGCATGTCACCGCCCTGGAGGATATTAAGCCAGGAGAGGTGAGGGGGCAAGTAGCTGTGGGGGTGGGTGGACAGGAGGCCTGGCAAGTTCTCCCCAGGAATCAGGAGCAGCAGTGGCTCCAGCCCCGGGTTCAGGCTGTTGGTTTGAATCCCCACATGCTGCAGGACCTTAGGCTTGCCTGTGAGTGTGCTCTGACCCCACCTCACTTCAAAAAATAACTCCAGAAAGCCTCAGCAGTGTTTAAGAGAGCACTGTGTGCCTGAGTTCTTGTCTCCAGCTACTTTTTGATCAAGGAATCTGCAGCTTCTAAGGAAGCAGGAAATGGCCCTTTGTGGCTCGGACTGTGGGTTGCTAGTGTGATTTGGGGTCCTGGCTCTTAGAGCAGTACACAGAGTCTGCTTGAAACTTCTTTCAGGGCAAGTAGCTTCACAGCAAGATAACCTCTGCCCCAGCCACAGACAGACCTTGGCCATGGCCTGAGGCCCAGCCATAGCCCCCAGTTCAGACTGTTAAAGCCTCATAGTGCCCTCCCTGCTCTGAGCGCAAGGGGATGGATTGGGGCGGCCTGCCCTCTCGCTGAAGGGCAGCTCAGGCTCCTGAGGACGAGGCGATGGTCGGACACAGGGCAGGGGTTGGGGAGGCCCGAACCCCACCTGTTAGGAAGACCATCAGCCCACCTCTCTCGTGCCCCTTAGGAAATCTGCATCAGCTACTTAGACTGCTGTCAGCGGGAGCGCAGCCGCCACAGCCGCCACAAGATCCTCAGGTGCCAGCGGGGCTGCGGTGGGCAGCGGGGCTCTGGGGTCCTCCAATCCGGTGGCTGCCTGACTGTGCCCTCACCATCACCCCCCCTCGCCCTCTGCAGGGAGAACTATCTGTTCGTCTGTTCCTGCCCCAAATGTCTGGCAGAGGCCGATGAGCCCAACATGACCTCTGAGGAGGAGGAGGAGGAGGAGGAGGAGGAGGAGGAGGAGGAAGGCGAGCCGGAAGACGCCGAGCTGGGGGATGAGATGACTGATGTGTGATGTCACCCCGCTCGGAAGCGCTCCTACCTCAGACCCTGCAGAAGAGGCGGCCTTGCCCCAGAGCAGAGGCTTGGAAGGAACACCCCACTCCTGTTGCCTGCTTCCCCCCATTTCAGCACTCTTTCCGCCAGAGGGTAAGCCAGGCTGGACCCTAGGCCCTCTCCCCGCTGCCGGACCTCACGCCCTGGACACTGCTGCAGAGTGGCTCCGGCTCTGCGCTGTCACTGAGCCTCTCAGAGCTGGCTTCCCCCGAGGTTCGGATGGAAGTGGCTGGAACCAAGGTCAGGGCCCAACAGGGTTTCTTCCCCATGGCCCCACTTATTCATCTGCTTGAGGCTTCAGCCCTCTCAACTCAGTATGGGGGGAGGGGGACAGTAACAGTGGCAACGCGAGAACAGCCTGGCTGCATTGAAGAAGAGAGGGGCCAAGATGCCCTTACCGTCTTCCCTGCCTCCCTCTGTTGTAGCCTGACAACTGGCACAGCTGGGAAGGCCGAGTGGCGCCCACTGCACCTTCTCTTAGGCTCTCTGTGGGGAGCAGTGAACCACGGGGATTCCCCCCCCCCCCACCTCCCCAGCCCACTGTTAGACATCAGGGAAGTAGAGATTAGCCCCTCCCCCAAAATCTCTGTGCCTGTGCCTTGCCTCTAGGCCCTGGTACAGTGGCTAGCCTCACAGGGTATGGAAGAGGTCTCTGCCTCCCTTGCGAGGGGTATGGGGGATCACCACCCGTCCTCTTACCCTCCTCCATTTAGGACTCTAGCAGCATGGCTGAGACCTGGGGGGGGAAGGCTTCTGCTCCCTAACTGGGGATGTTCTAGAGTCTTCTAGAACTTTCATCAGTGAGGGGCTCTCCTGGCCTCAATCTCCATCTTTAGGATCTCCACAGAGGAACACAAGTCTTCCAGAAACCTAGAAGAGCTGGGCTGGATATTCAAGATTAGCCCTGACTGTCCTCCTCCTCCCCAGATTAGCACTACCCCTTGCTCTTGGGTTGGAAGCTGTGGAAATTGTAACCTGTCACCCGCAATTCTTTTCTGCCCACCTTCCCTGAGGGGCCTGCCGCACGCCCCTGCTGAGGGATCCCAGGGAGGCCAGGTGCCGCCCCACGGGCCCTTTCCTGGATCATGAGCAGGTGGAATCTGTCTGACTAGCCTATTGAGTTCTTAATTCTTCAGAGCAGCCAGCACTCCCTCCTCCCCACCTGCCCAGTGTTCTCAATAAAACATGAGTGGTGACAGGCCTTTATAGGAATGCTTTGTGGAGGATCGCTTGACAAGCTGCCTCAAGCAGGCAACAGTCACGTGGATGGTGCCAACGTGCACAGAATAGAGCAGGTGACGACAGGAGACGGGAGCTCCAGCTCCCTAGTTTGGATTCATCCCTCGTCTCGTCTGCATCTGCTGTGCAAATGTTTCTCAGGTCTGAGAGCAGGGCTCCTCTGAGGTCCAGTGTGGATCCCCAGGACCAGGCTACAGAATGAGGCGGCTTTTCCTCGGGGGCTGAACCACCGCTTCCTGAGTCCTTGAGCAGGAGGCTGTCGGGATCCAGGATTAGCAGTCTGAGCACTGGTCCTGAAGGACCCTGGGCAAGCCTTGTACCCTCTCTGGGCCTTAGTTTCCTCCCTTCAGAACAAGAGCCTGGGACCAAGTGCCCCCACCCCAGTGAGCTTTACTCTAGGACACAGTTGCAACCCTGATGAGAGGCTTTATTGCTAAAAAGTCACTGAGGGTTTATTAAGTCCTCAAACACCAGCTCCTTATACCATTCCAGCAATTGCCGTGAAAGACTGGGTGGGGAGGCTGGAGCCAGGTGGGGTGTGACAGGTCTCAGATGGCTCTCAAACCACCTGCTGTTGGTCCCTTTAGTTTCAGACCCTAGCCCACCAGCCCCGGGGCCTGGCTCTTGCCTCTTCCCATAGCATGAGATACCTTAGGAGCCCAAGGGAGGAAAGGTCAGTGGTGTGGCTTCCTTTAGCTTAGCCAAGGCCCAAGCCCTTTTCCTCTACCTGGCTCCACCAGTTCCCAAATGCTATCCCCAAATCCTGAACAGCAGAATTCCTGGATTTTCCCTTCCCAGCCCAGAGTTGCTTATGGCTAGAATGTGGGACCAACTCTTCTACCAGAAGGTCCAGGGCGGTTGCAGCAGCTCAAAGGTGGGGATGCTGGTGACATTGACTGGGATGGAAATGATGGCCCAAGGCAGCCCATGCTGTTCCAGGGAGCGGCGGATCATGTAGCTGGGAGGGCATGAAGAGAGGTGGTGATGGTCACTTTCTTGGTACCCCATCATGCCCCACTGTCCCCATTACTTTGGGAGTTCCAGAGCCTGAGGACTTTTTTGGCCCTCCAACCAGGGCACCCCCAGATGAGGCTTGTGGGTAGGGACTAGTAATTGCCCTTGACCTCCCCGAGTTGTGGCGCCCAGCTTGGTGCTAATACAGCCAGAGACAAGGACCCCTCACCCATCTCGGCCGAGCAGGAAGAGGGCGGGGATGTCAGCTGTGCGCTGGGTACTGTCCTGGATCATCTCCACGTAGAAGCTGTCATTGTCAACCGCGTTGTCAGAGATGATCACTGCCCGCCCGCCGTGCTCCTGCACCACCCGGGTCTTGGAGAGGAAGGAGCAGCCCCTGGAAGAGGTGATGATGAGACCAAAGAAAAGGCAGGGTCCTAGCTATCCCCACCCCAGACCACCAACCCAGGACGGTGAAAGAAGGACTGACCGTGGAGGACTGTTTTTTTTATAGAGGCTCACAAGTAAATGGCCAAAGGCTTGGATAATTTTAAGACATTTCTTAAAGACTCTTAAAAAGGTGAATTATTTAAAAACAGTTATTTCAAAGTATCACCACCAACACTGATCTCAGACCCTCCCCCCTGTGCCTGTCCGCGCCTTACCCCCTCTCCACCAGTGCGATCTGGTCCTGGATGAAGAAACCGTTGCTGAGTTCCCCGCAGGCCTCTGAAGGTTCCGCAGGGACAAGGTGAATCTGCTCATACCTTGTGTGCTGAAAGATTTAAATAGGTGAAAGTGTGGGGAGGGGTTAGGACCGAGCTGATCATTCCATCGTATCAGCTTCTCAAAAATTTGAAGGAAATGCGTGATTTCTGTGTGTTGAACGCTAGAGCACTTTGGCTCAATTCTCACAATTTGTCTGGTTGTCCTATCCCACCTCCCTTTTTGTCTTTTTTTTTTTTTTTTAATCAAATCCTTATTTTATCTATTTATGTTTTCCACCCTCCCTGTCACAGACACAGGGAAGTTGCTATGGACCCAGAGTCACACATTAATAGTTCAGTGGTGGAGCTAGCAGAGCCTTTGGCTTTTTTTTTTTTTTAACTACTTCATGTCCCTAAGAAGACAGTTTTTCCCTCTATGATGCCCAGGTCTGTATTATACCCAGAGGAACAGCCAGAAGCCCTTCCTTCCTGGCTCTAGCCCCTGGAAGACAGAGCTGGTCCCCTTCTCTGTCCCAGCACTCAGGTATTGATTGAATTGATGAAGGTCACCTCAACTTAGTAGGGGGAAATGTGGAGACAGCATCAGAGATAAGGGGGCCTCCCTGAACTTACAAAGATACCACCAAAGTCCTTGGCAGGCGTGGCTGTGAAGATGTATCGAATATCCCCAGGACTCAGCACTTGAAAGTACAAATAATCATGGATGCGTAAGCCTGAAAGGTAAAAGGTACAGGTGAGAAGCCTCCAGGGGAAAAGCTGGTTCAGGTTCAGATCATGGACCCTATGCCTTCAACTAGGCTGGCTAATGATCTGGGCCCAGAGACCCAGCTTCCGCCAACTGTGTCCTTGAAGTAGGTAGGATAGATGGTCTCTGCCCTGGGGAGGATAGAACTGATGCAGACAGAGTTAGTGACCCCAGAGATTTACAGCTGTTGCTTCTTACACAGGTGAGCCAGGGAGACAGAGTTCCAGTGTTACTTCTCTGAGGTTAACTCATCTTTGCTCTGAGGCAGACTTGAGAGTTTCAAGGTGGTAGATGTGGTAGCTGTTGTAAAAAAAAAAAGAATCTGGTTCCACTGCCATTTCCCCCTCGTCCAGTCACTACCATTTCTTGTCCTAGCTGATGCAGCTTTTTAACTGGTCTATCTTAGCCTCCATTCTTGCTCCCTAAGGTCCATTCCCCTTACAACTGCCAGGAATTTCCTTAAAATGTCTTAAAGCAGATATGATCATGTCACCACTGCCAGAGCTTCAATACCCTTCAAGAACTTTCTTTTGCACTTAAAACCTAAACTCTAGTCTGCAAGGCCCTGCTTGATCTGGCCGTTGGCTACCTCAACCTCGTCTCTTCCCTTCCTATGTTCTAACTACACTGGCCTCCAGTTTCTTCACATCTCCAAGTCTTCTCGCAAGTTCCCTCACCATACCACACCTCTGCCTTTTTATAGGGCTCACTCCTATTCATCCATCAGATCACTTTCTCAGAGAAACCTGCCCTGTGACTGCCCTCCCTTTATGCCCCTTCAAAAATGTACTTTGTCTCCAATGACACTTTTAACATAATTTGGAATTATTGTTTGTTGTCTATCTCCTGCACTAGAACAAGGACTTAAGTTTGTGATTTCATTCAATACTGTATCCACGTTATCTAACATAGTGGCTAGACTATAATTGGTGCTCTAAAAGGTTGTTGAGTGAATGAACAACTATTTCCAGCAGGGAATTGCCAGAACAACTAGATTTTTCTGGGATGTGGATCTCTTTAGTACCAAAGTATAATGTTTTACCTGAACTGAAGTCGCTGGTTTCCTTAACCCAGAGAGATTGAGTAATGTGAAAGGGTGGAAGCTTCTGCCACAAGTCACTACTGTGTGTCAGGGCTGGGATCGACTGTGGCTTTAGCTGTCTTTTTCTACGTCCTAATCAGCCACCAGGTAGAGGGCCACTGGTTTGCTACTGGGCTACACATACAGCCTTTTGTCCTGGGAGTGGAGGCTTCCCGTCAAATAGAAATACACTCCCAGGAGGCCTTCCTGGATTAGCACTAAAATTCCCCTCTTCCCTACACATCTTTGCCTAGCCTCTGATCTGGTAAATTAAGTGTAGATATACACATGTGCTCACGTATGTATATGGGTGTATGTTTATATTCTCGTGTAGGTGCAAACAGGTTTGGTGTGTACGTATGTGCTAAGTGCGTGTCAAGCCCACGTATAGCAATGTGTGGTCCCATTTATGTATGTGAGTGCTCACATATTTCCAGCTCGTAGTATTCCTGTGAGTGTGAGTGTGAAAGTCGCTCAGTCGTGTCCGACTCTTTGCGACCCCATGGATTATACAGTCCATGGAATTCTCCAGGCCAGAATACTTGAGTGTATAGCCTTTCCATTCTCCAGGGTCCCATTTATGTATGTGAGTGCTCACATATTTCCAGCTTGTAGTACCCCTAGGTGTTCCTTGTTCTTCGCCCCCCTCAGCCACCTAAGTCGGCGCTAGTGGGGGTAGGGGGAGCCTTCCTTCGACGTGGGTAGCTGGGGACTCACAGCCCAGCCTCAGGCCGCCCCCAGTTAATCTCCCTGGGGACCACTACCCACCCACTCCAGGTGCCAGTGTCTGGACCTGCCTTGCTCCGAACTCGCGGGGTCCCCAAGGTGACCCGGGGCCCCCGGCCCAGGACGCGCTCAAGCTGGTCCGCCAGCCCCGCCCTGAAGCGTAGCCCCGCCCGTTGCTGCTCACCGTGGGCCGCGACGCACGCGGGGAGCCAGAGCACGAGACAACACCAGCCCGCGGCGCCGGGGACCATCTCCAGGGCCCGGCCGGGCGCCGCGCTTCTTCCAGCCACCCCGCCGCGCGTACCTAGCCGGACTTCGGCCTGACAGCTGCTCTGGCCTCCCGCCCCCGGACCCGCTCACGCCGTCGGTTGGCTGACCGGAATGAGGCCTAGGACTTATTGGCTCTGAGGCCTGCTTATGTAGCCACATTTTCCGCCCCTACGCCGTAGCCCACTTCCTATTGGTCGAGAGAAGTGAGGCCGAGGGCTGATTGGTCTAAACTCTTAACTGTCGGCCCCCGCCCCAGCATTTCTCATTTTGGCTTAGACTCTGCAGGACCTCTCTGGCAGAGGGCGGGCCGGGGAGGCCGCGGGAACTGAGAACGGAAGACCCGCAGGACTCGCCTCAGCCCCGAAAAGTCTTGGCTAGTCAGCTCGTGCGTTCTCGGCCGAATCCTCACCGCGGCCGCATCACAAGGCAACGATTTATCTTCTAGCTGTGTCTTCCTTTTTCCCATCCTCTCCTTGGGAAGGCATTCCCCTAACGCCCAGGTGGTGTCGGGCGACTCCTGCTCTGCTCATCCTCTGCCTAGTTCCACTGGCGTTTGTGCGCTGGTAGTCAGTAGGCTCTGGGGATGTGGCCTATGTACCCGACCCTCGAGGAAGCTCTGACAGTGCCAAACCAGAAAACGAGCATTCGGGCCAGGTGCCCACGTGTGATTTTGGATACCTAACCTCTCAGCCTCAGTTCCCTCATCTGTAAAGCGGGCGTGATCGTGGTACTACCAAAACGATAGTGTTTTAACAACGAGCTCACTCACGTCAAATGCTTAGTTAAAGCCTCTCAGTAAGCAGTCAATAAATTTATGCGTTTATTGCATCCCTTGGTCTTGGGAGATAGGGGGAATCGAATTAGAGTTAGTGGCTGACGCGGCCAAGCAAGGATTCTGCATGCTCAAAAATAATGGCACCATGGAAAACCGGCGAACCTTCCCTTACCAACGATTCTCTTAGCTCTTGCCGAGGCCCAGCCTCTGACCCTTCTAGCCACGCCGACTCTGTGGTAGCGAACCATAGAGTGGCGGAAGTGGCCCACCCCTTCCTCTCCCAGTCCAACGGCTTTGTGAAGCTTCTGGGGGTTTCTCTGGCGCGGAGCATTGTGGGCTTGCTGGGCGTCCCGGGCGCGGAGAAGAGGAGTAGCCGGCCACTGGATAAGCTTACAAGATGATGGTGAGTCGCATCTCGGTCATCCGGCCCCATCCGCTGCCATCTGGTCGGTAGCTGGCGCTGCCTGCCCTAGGCCAGTCTTGTAGAACCCTCTCCTGCTTATTGAATCGGTTCTCGCCCCGACCCTCTTGTCTGTGAGGGACCCCGGCCCGCTACCGCTTGTTGGGCCCGGCCCGGAGCAGCTGCTCTCAGCGACGGTTTTGTGGGGCTCAAGAGGAGGCTCCGGTCGGGCCGGCTGGGGACTACAAATCCCAGGGTGCTTCGGGGCCTTGAACCTGCGTCGGTCACACGGTTTTCGGAGTCCCCCATAATCATGACTTGGGGCAAATGACTGCGGGTTGAGCGTGCATACGTGGTCAAGGGCCAGACTTGGAAGCTTTGGCTGTCTTGAAAAATGCGGGTGTGAAGGAGGGTGCTTCCTAGAACCGGCAGAGGCAGCATGGGGACGGAGCCCAAGGTCTCAGCTCTGGTCTCTCATTGCCCCTCTCCCTGCCCCCTTGCTGCTGAGTAATTGAAAACAGATCCTTCTGCTCGTACTCCGCTCGTCATCCCTTCATTCATTAAGTAAACGCATTTTGTTGTTAAGTCGTTCAGTCCTGTCTGACTCTTTGCGACCCCATGGACTGCAGCACGCCAGGCTTCCCTGTCCATCACTAACTCCCGGACTTGCTCAAACTCATGTCCACCGAGTCGATGATGCCATCCAACCATCTCATCCTCTGTCGTCCCCTTCTCCTGCCCTCAATCTTTCCCAGCATCACAGTCTTATCCAATGAGGCAGTTCATCGCATCAGGTGGCCAAAATATTGGAGCTTCAGCTCCAGCATCAGTCCTTCCAATGAGTATTCAGGGCTCATTTCCTTTAGGATTGAGTGGTTTTATCTCTTTGCAGTCCAAGGGACACTGAAGAGTCTTCACCAGCACCACAGTTCGAAAACACCAATTCTCCAGCACTCTGCCGCCTTTATGGTCCAGCTCTCAGATCTGTACATGACTACTGGAGAAACCATAGCTTTGACTATACAGACCTTTGTCGGCAAAGTAATGTCTGTGCTTTTTAATATGCTGTCTAGATTTGTCATAGCTTTTCTTCGAAGGAACAAGGGTCTTTTAATTTCATGGCTGCAGCCACCATCCGCAGTGATTTTGGAGCCCAAGAGAATAAAGTCTGTCACTGTTTCCATTTTTTCCCCATCTATTTGCCATTAAGTGATGGGACTGGATGCCATGATCTTCGTTTTTTGAATGTTAAGTTTTAAGCCAGCTTTTTCACTCTCCTCTTGCACCTTCATCAAGAACCTTTTTAGTTGCTTTCTGCCATTAGGGTTGTGTCATCTGCATATCTGAGATTATTGCTATTTCTCCCAGTAATCATGATTCCAGCTTGAGCTTCAGCCAGGCATTTTGCATGATGTACTCTGCATATAAGTTAAATAAGCAAGGTGACAGTATACAGCTGTGACATACTCCTTTCCCAGTTTGAATTAGTCAGTTGTTCCATGTCTGATTCTTAACTGTTGCTTCTTGACCTCATACAGGTTTCTCAGGAGGCAGTTAAGGTGGTCTAGTATACTCATCTCTTTAACATTTTTCCACAGTTTGTTGTGATCCACACAGTCAAAGGCATTAGCATAGTCAATGGATCAGAAATAGATGTTTTCTCTGGAATTCCCTTGCTTGTTCTGTGATCCAGCAGATGTTGGCAATTTGATCTCTGGTTCCTCTGCCTTTTCAAAATCCAACTTGTACTTTGGAAATTCTTGGTTCATGTACTGTTGAAGCCTAGCTTGAAGGATTTTGAGCATTATTACCTTGCTAGCATGTGAAATGAGCACTACTGGGTAGTAGTTTGAACTTTTAGTACCTACTGAATGTACTAGGCCCCTAGTACAGCTTCTGAGGTGCAACTCTCAACCAGGAGAATGGGCAGGGCACTGGGGATGATGCATCAGAGGTGAGAAGACCCAGTCTCTGACCCTATCTGCCCTTCCAGATGTGACATTAGATGGCTTTTCTAGTTGGCCACCTAATTCTCTGTCTCCTTTTCTTTAGAGAAGCAGGTGAATCCTGGAGGCCGTCTGTAGCCCTCCTCCCCTCTTACCTTCTGTGGCATCCCTTTCTCCAACTCGGAGCTACAGGTACCTTCCATGGGTCCCAAACGACCACGGTGGTGTCCCCTGAGCTGATGTTGAACAGGGCCAGCTTTTAAGTGTTTGAGGTGAAACCCTGACCTGTGCTCTCTGGGCACTTGGCAGTTCACTTGTTCATTTTTCTCCGTCCAACTCAGTTCTCTGTTCTTTTCCTGCTTCCTCAGCTTCTGCCTCACCTAGTCATATGTCAAACTGACAGCTGTCAGATGTTCATGCTACCAGATGCCCTGAGAATCCTGCTTGTACCTGAGAGAGTAGGAACCTGGTGTTAATCTGGATACCCTTTCTGCCTTTCATGCACCCAGTACTGCCTTTTTCAGTCTGGCTTCAGTGTTACCTATCCCCTGAAGTCATCTTCGCCTCATGCAGTGGCAGCATAGTAGAACACTTGAGAGGAAGGGCTCTGGAGCCACCCTGAATGCCTGTGTTTGATAGCTTAATAGATGTGTGACTTTGAGTGTGGTATTGTATTTCCGGCCCCTAAAATTCTTCTGACTTGTGATAAAACCCTTCACCAAGATGCCCCAGACCACCACCTCGGCTTTTTCCTGAGCTGACACCTGCTCTGTTTCCTTGCTTATTGACTTTTTGTAGCTCTCCTTTTTGTGTGTGAAACTTAAGTCACCAAGAACTCTTCTTGCTGTTATTTGGTACCTGGTATTGAATTGGTACCTGATATTCTGGGAGTCTTCTGTGATTGAAAAAGAGGTAAGAGGGTTCCTCAAAAAGCTCAGTCCTATGACTTTGGTACAACCACACAGAAGGTATTGATACGTTCTTGCTTTTGTGTTCAGCACTGCATGCCTTAGCGTATGAATACCTGTTGTTTCATAGAGCATCAAGCTAAATAATGCTTATTAAAAGTTTTTAAGTAGAATGAAGACCATTAAGCTGAAATTAGCAAGCCTTTCATGATAGATACCCTTGGCAGATTGTTGGATTCTGCTGTTGTTTCTTCACTTGAGTAAAAACACGTTTAGAAAGTAACTTAAGGACACGAGCTGGGCTTGCCTTTGGAGAACTGATAGAAGAGGCACCAACCTGGTTGACCTAGCTTGGCTCAGTCCAGCCCTGCCACCTTTCCCTCCCTAAGGGATCTCTGTACCCAGCCTGCCGTTTCTGTAGGGTCCATAAAGCACAGGAACTTGGGACAACGTGGTCAGCTGCTTCCAAGCCCTTCTTGCTTGTATTTAGGAAGTCTCAGTGAATTTAGTGTCACCATGCTGCCGATGCTTTTCCAAAAATAAGAACAGATTGCCACCTTACTTCATGATGTGTATAAAGCACTTTCAAGTGTATTTGGCCCTTGAATAACTCCGGGAGTTAGGGGACCACACTCTGCTAAGTCAAAAGTTTGCATATGATATAGTCCGCCCTCCATAACTGGATTTCTCTCTATCTGAGGATTCAACCAACCTCAGACGGTGTAGTATTATAGTATTTACTGCTGAAAAAAATTCAGGCATAAGTGGACTCACACAGTTCAAACCATGCTGTTCAAGGATCAACTGATAATGTAATTGGAATTTTCAGCACCAAAAGCTTCTGTATATTGCTTTATATGTGGCCAAATCTAGGCACTCTACACATTGAAATTAGTGTAGTCCTTACCTTTTTGAAGCTTGTACTTTAAGATGGATGGTAATATAAACATTA